GCACTTGTTTCTAATAGCTTCTTGTTACTACTAGTAAGGCACTTGTTACTACTTGCGTGGCACTTGTTACTACCAGATTGTTTTCAGTGTTGAAAGGATGGTTACTACCGACAGATTGATGGCTTCTGTGGAAAATGTGCCTTGGATTTGTCCCGCAAACTTCTCTGATCGTTTTCTGGCGCCTTCCTTTCAGGTCATGAAATTTTTCAGGTACCTTTGGTACCGGTGATTTTGCTGATTGGAGCTCCTATTGCTTTGATCATCATCATGAAATTTGGCACACAAGGCATTTCCAAGACCCGGAACTTTGGCAGAATTGTGTGTGTCGTGTGTGTTTTCCTTTTTCGTCTCTATGTCTCTCTCCGATTTCGGTATATGTTTCACTTTTTCGTCTCCAGATGTGTTTCGATCAGAAACCGTTGGTGAAACCGGCCTTCGCATGCCGTTCTGAGGTTCTCCACCTTCAATGAATTTCTGGGCATCGGCTACGTGACCGTGGTCTTCATTCAGACCTTGGGAACCAACATGAGTCCCTCGGCGGTTGTTTCCTTGGGGCAGAAAAGGATCGGTCGACTTCCACATGTCCTTAAAAGAACCCCGTCTCAGATTTAATGACTTTATCACACAACCCGTAACATGTTGGTCTTTTAAAGGAAAAGGCGCCCGACATCTTCCAGCTGTCTGCCGTGGCGGGATCTTCCAACGCCGCCCGAGTTTTTTGTCCCGCCGGAGGCATCATGCCGGATGTCCCGGGAGTCCTGGGCTCCTCGTTGGCCTGGACAGCGGCGATCCAAGTGGCTGGGTGGAAAGGAAGGGAGAAAGACACATGTTTTCAAAAGCTGGTTGTTCATGGTTTTCTTTATGTTTTCTTTATGTGTCTTTTCTTTTCTTCGATGTTTCAAGCAGTGACCTGGTGTTGCAGCGACAGCATGGCAAGCGATGCGACCACTCGCACGTGACCGACTCGCGGCGATCGACGTGACCGAGGACATTACGTCGCAGTTCCGACTGCAATGCTTTCTCCGCATGAGCCCCTCGACCATCGAAGAAAGCCGGAAAAAACGGTGAGAAAAAGGGGTCCCTGAGAAGAAACTCCCAGTCGTGGTGCATCGTGGTGGCCTTTTTTCTTCCGAACGCACCGACGGCGTGAGGGACGTCGTTCTTTTTTTTCCGCATGTTTTAGACCCAAGTAAAGCTCCACAAGTCTTCCGATGGCCTCCAACCCAATAGTGGTGGCCCTTGGCCACGCTGGAAGTCTGAGGCTTCGCGGTGGAGTTTGCGCTGAAGCTCCTGGCCCCATTGTACGGCATGCTCCTCTTCGTGGCCATGCCGCCCAGATGCAGTTATCGATGCACTGCGCATGCAATGACGCACGGAGTAATGATGGCTGCCGTTGCTGATGACATGCAATGAAGTATAATGAAGTGGTCGTCTTAGAGTTACATCATTGCTGCACAGATTCGTCTATTTCTTTGACGAAGAAAAGTGCTTTGGTACTCAAAGAGTCAGAAGAACACACTTCATTCGATGTCAGGTACTGGATTAGTAAGCTTTGCAAGCGCCTGACCTTGGACAGAGACGTGGTCATCGGTACCTACGGGAGCTTCTTCGTGGCCTTCTTCATCTCCATCGCCAATCTGTGCCCCGGTTCGGACTCCGGAGCGTCCCGGGCGGACGACGTCCGGAAGACCAAGCGCTTCCACTCAACGGAGAAACCAAGCGCTTCCACTCTTCAGGTCCTTGAAGCTCTTCCAGACTTACGAGCACCCCAATGGAGAAAGGTCCATGATTTCCGAGCCGGCTGCCGGCGGCCCTAGAACTTCCGGAGGGGAGGCAGGGGGATAAAAATGGATCATTTGTTAGTGCGGAGAATAAGATGTTTTGCAAAGCACCCTGAGATTATAATGTTATAAGAGGCTGTATACGGCACAAGACATTGGACCGAAATGGAGGATGTGCGCCAGATGACGAATGTGCGCTTTGAGATTCTGTTTTGATGCCTGCCAAGGTCATCACAAGCTCAGATACATGGTTGAGCATGGTTGCGGGTACATCACTGTCCATTTGCTTGTATTGCGTGGGTGCCACAGCGGGTATCGTTTATGCGCTCTACAATGCACCCACCTTCTTCAAGGAGCACGTTCGCCACCGGTCGCTACGCGTTCGTCACCGGTCGACTCGGCGCTGCGGCGGTGCGGTGGTGTCCAGGATCCGGGCTTTCGCAAGCGATGGAAGTTCCTGTTCCTTTCCGTGCGACCCTCCACGTACTGGTGGGTCACTGCTTCCTTGGTGAAGGACGGGCCAAAGAAGAAGACGGACCTTTTTCGTCGGAGGGCAACAACCAGCAGGTTTTTCCAGGGTTTTTTTCATGTTTTTTCCATGTGTTTCTCCCCTCCAACACGGAGGGAAAGGAACAGCAGAGAGAAAAAAGACACTTTCTAAAGATTTGGCAAGACTCTGAGACAGGACACAGCCCAAATACGATGAACACCGTGGTGAAAACGCTCTGAACACAGTTTCTGCCATTTTTCGCCAGGCCTTTTTCTTGTCGCTGACCACCATTGTCTTCCAGCGACCCATGGGTCAGACCATTTGGCTCGGAACTGGTGTCCTTCTCAGACTTCGTGTGCGGACTGGTCGAATGGTGTCGTGTGCGACCCGGCGTTGTTCGGCATGAGGTGTCGGGTGTGGGCGGTGTGGGGTGTAAGAGCACTTGGCAGGTTTGATGCTCTACTTCTTGGCAGTCTTTTGGTTCCTGCCATGGCGAACGGCCACATTGCTTTGGTTGGATGTGGCGCTGCATTACCTGCTGGCCGTCTCTTGGAGAACGTCCATGGTCAAAGACCGACGCCCCATTCGAATGGATCTGTACAGACCTTTTTCTTGATGTTTATTTCGTGGAAAGGCTATTTCGTTTCTTTACTAGCGGCTAACTATATCTGGTCTCGAGCCTCTTTTTGACCAGTCACAGAGGGAGGTTGATCACGACGGAGTTGCATCTCAACGGAGAAACGGTGGACCGCCGTTCGGTGAGTATTGGGGGCGAGCCGCATGTTCACAAGACGTTCCACCGCATTTGGGGAACATCCAAAAATGACAAGGAGGTCTGTAAGAGGTTTCAGGTTTCTTCGGGCATTTTGAGGTTTCTTTTCCTTTTCTGCACTGCTCACCACGGAGGTTCTTTGTTTGCTGATGCCTTTCTTTGTCCCGGCCAATGAAACCGAGCTCATCGATGCAGCGACGGTCTTCTTGGTGCCGCGGTTTCAGCGGAAACGGATCGGCGCGGCCCCGGGTTGGGGCATCCGCGAAGATATTCGCGAAGGACGTAGGGTCAATTGATGTGAATTGACCATGATTTCGTTGCTAAGAATTTGGCTTCAAGATGCGATATGGTCATGACTTCAACCAAAGGAACGTGAAGATCCGCGATGAATGGACATGTTTGATGTTTGTCGAGTACTGAGTCAGACTGCATTCCGAACTTGACGCTCAGATGGTCTGTGTCGTCGGCATCATGTGCGCAGCACTCTGCGTCCTTGGGGTTCTTCGAACACAATCACCAAGTGCACAGAGGCAATGGAGGCGCAGCACTGCGCCGAGTGAGTACTTGTAGAAGTGACAGCGATGTTCTCTCAGTCGAGGGATTCCCCGTATGTGTCGATGTTTTTTGTTGGATTGCAGGTTGACCTATGAACAGGATGCCCGGAAGTTTGTGGAAGTCTTCCAGGCCGCTTTCACAAGAAAAGAGCTCGCGCAGTTGCGGAGACTGCACAACTCGGAGACTGCACAGCGGGAGAAACACACGGTCTTTTGTTCTGCGAAATTCTCCTTCTTTGAGTCAAGCCCTTTTACAGTGACTCACCCTGCCTTGGACCGCCAGCTCACGCCGTGATCACTGCTGGGGTCCGGCACCGCCACCGCCGGCGCGAAACAGGTGATGAACGATGCGCAGCTCATGGCAGATGTTCTGCATGGCTTGGTGGATGTGGACTATACCCTGACCATTAGCGTCATGAAGATTCTCAGTGCATCTCGCCGAGATGGATATGACCGAAACGAACATCCCCAAATTCGATGCGGCACGAGAATACGTCATCAAGTATCCATGTCGGCACGAGAAGGCGCGTTTTCTGATGAAGTCCCAGAACTTCTGTGACTTGACGAACATGAACTACTCCCACCCGGTCGCAAAAATTCCATCCACCACTATCAGGATGTTTGGGGTACTAAAAATGAGTCATTGTCCTCCTGCTGGACTCGACCAGGGTTTGATTAAAGTCGTAGCTACGAAGTAGCGTTCGTAGCCCCAAAAGCGGTAATTACCGCATGTTACCGCTTTGAAGACCTCTGACCTTTTCCCTCCCAGGTGGAGCTGCTCGGAAACACCGAAAGTGGCCGTTTGATTTGGAGGAGCGACGAATGGTGGTTCTATTCAGGCCATTATACTGTAAATGGTTTGTATTCTATCCCTAGCCTTCAAAGATCATCAAAATAGAGGTTGTGTAAAAATGCTTCATAGTATAAAGGAGGTTTTTTGAAATCATGTTCTTTGATGTTCTGCCTCTTAAAGTGGTAAAGCCATCTCCGGCTCCGCAGGAAGGGTGGCCGCCTCGGTGCCGCAGCTGCAGCCGAGTCGACCGCGTTTCGCGTTGCGGAGTCGAGTCGAGTCGAGTGGAGGACACGAGTTGGATTCTCGTGATCTTTGCCTTTCACTGAGGAACCAACAAGAAGAAGGCACAGCTGTGTGTGGCAAAGAGCAACATTTGCTGCAACATTGGCCATTTGTTTCGCAACCTGAAAGCTAACGAGTCCATGATCGATGTATTTCGAAACGAACTCTGCAGGAGCGAGGTCCTGATCTCCCAGAGGAATTCTAAATGTCTCCTGGCCGGACACCGAGGGAAGGAGTGAAAAACGAAAGGCTTTCAGAGAGAAACGACCGGCTGAGAAAGAAAGGGTCTCTAAATGTCTCAGACAGGTCAGACAGATCAGACAGCAGATCTAAGCACCACCAAACAGGTCGACCGATTTGGACGTGGCACGTCACGTTCTCGCGGCCGAGACGAGACCGGTCTCCGGCCGAGCGGTCCGAGAGGACGAGTCCGGGTTCGGTGAATCCTCGGAAACAGGTAGTCCTGAAAAATGAGGTCTTTAAAAGACCTTTTGGTCTTGAAATACCTGTTTCTTCCTCGCGGCCCTCAGGCGTTCGAAGATTCGAAGATCGTCGCGACCTGGTTGAGAGCTCGTTTCACTTCCCGCACTGCACGAGAACACTAGCGATGGCCTCCCTTGTGGAAACTGCCGGACACTGGGTGGGGCATCCCGTTGTCACGAATGTGATTGGCCCGTGTGGCTGGCGTCAGACGTGCAGTGTGGGTTTAGAGTCATGGGCTGCGTGACGGGCACGCATGAGTGTGGCAAAAGCCGAGTCCTTGATGATGTTTCCATTGCAAAGCAATGGCAAGGGTCGTCAGACCAGTTGACTGAATCAACTGAGCGATGGAAAATGACAGGACCCATGCCTGACCGCCGCCGAATCATCATCTTTGTTTGGTCGTTTTTTCACCTGTGAATCCAAGAGAGTGATTTCGAGTCGGTGTCCAACGGTCCACCGACTCGAAAACATCCGGAAAAGCGATGAAACGCTCTCGTTGGGCGTCGTGGCCGCCACCGTGCTCATCTGTGCACTACAGATCACCATGTTTCATCGTTCTTTTCCTTTGTTGGCGAAAAAGACACCAAAGACGAGTATTTTTCAAGACCAATCTGACGACAACTCTGTAGGTCACTAGTGTCGCTGGTCCCTCACTTGGCCAATTCGACGAATTAGTTTCGACGCAAAGAGCTGGCACAGACTGAAGCAAAAGTTCCTTCCAAAGCTCAAGCAAAAAGTTCCTTCCAAAAAAGGGTGAACACTATACATTATGTGTATTCGGTTCGCTGTCAGACTCGCGATGGTGCCATGGATGCCTTGCCAGAATGGTTTATCCAAAATCTCAGTGCCGAAGAACTGGTTGAGGCGGGTCACATCACATCAGCTGTGCAATGACCGCGCATGTGCAAAGGAAGGGCTCAAAGGAAGGGCTCTAACTGTCAGGTTTCACTTGGGTCTTTTCACTATTTGAGATGGAAAGAACGGCAACCTGCAACCGGTCCCCATTCACTGGGCTTGGGTAGTCTGTTTGGGACTCCGGTCCCGTGGCTGAAAAACTCACATGGCCCGGACGGTGGCGTCTGAGGCAAGGCGAGAAAAGCTGCAGCATCTGGAATTGTGGCAGAAACTCAATGCTGGACAGCTCTACCAGGTGATCTGCCTCATAATCGGATTCGTGTTGGATGTTTTTTTTCTTCGCTAGCCGCTAGGAGCGGCTAGGTGCCCTCACCCTTTCTTTTCAGATCCTTAAGGATCCGGCGCCGATCTTGATTAAGGGGCTATAAGCAAACACACACGTAGGCGCAATGTAGGACGCAGGAGCTTTCGCAAGAGCCGCTCGTGAGCGTCTCGTTTCAGGGAGCTCCCCCCCGAAACCCAGCGATCTGTTGCCGACGAGATGTGGGGAACACAGGAGTCACAGAGCTCGGGGTGGCTTTAGTCCCCAGAGAGTGGATGTTGGCACCCCTATCCTCTTTTCAAGTCGTGAAATGGGGCATGATTTGCGGGGGCAACAAAACAACGCGAGTTGAGCTGAGAGGCTGAGAGGAGTTCCTGTTGGGGATCAACTCCTTCCGACTTCCAGGTCGCCCGAAAAGATGTCGATGAACTCTTCGCGATCTTTGATGTGGAAGGCGCCCGCGATCTCGCTCGGGAGCACCCGCCGATGTAGACGACCGCCCATGGGATCTTCTGTCACGTTCCAAAAGCTGTTCCCTGTTCTTTCCGTAGTCATTCAGGGAAACGCGTCGTTTCTTTAAGGTTCTTCTTCATTTTTTGTTATGAGTGCATATTAAATATGAGATCATATGAGTGCGGTCGGGGTCGCGGACGTGTCGACTTGTTTGCAGGATCAGGAGAGATCTCCATCGAAGAGTTGATGGAAATCAACAAGGCACGGGTAGAATGTGTTTTGCACCACACATTCCTTCAATTTGCATTAACAGGTATACAATCTACAGTATAATAGAATAATAAATATCTTGGGTCATCTTGGGTCTGTCTTCCCTGTAACAGTCGGTAAACAATGATGTGTATATTGTTTATGTGAGAAAGGCCTTTACTAACTATCATAATCCGCTACTGCTGGTAATAGGATAGACTCTCGGATAGACCCAATATAAATAAACTTTTTGTGCAAGAACGAGTCCCATTGCAATTTCTGTCAATGTTCTTGATGTCATTTTTGCATCCTGAGATCGCATGAGGTTGAAGGCCTAGTCCTGACCAGCTCAGATGTAGAAGCTCTCGGTGTTTCGGCTGAACATGGTGAATCCGTCAATGTTCACTTTGCCTCGGACTTTTTGTGTAGCTGTCACGCTTCTAGTTCGTACTATAGTTCATGTTAATTACTATAGCTTTATAATATACACTCCAACTCACTACCATGGCAACATGGAAGTGTAAAACCCACTGTTTGTAGAGGAAAGTCGTCTTCCAAGAGGCCATTTTCCACTTCCAGTGAGCCAGTGCTCCCTTTTTTTCGCGTCCGTCATGGCTGCGGCCCACGGAGCCTGGTCGAGGAAGAGATGCGGACAAGGACGGTTCGGGTCTGATCAGCGCGAAGGAGCTCTACAAAGCGATGATTCAGGGCGAGGCGTTGGTGACGTGGGGTGGTGGCGGCGGACGAGACGTCGTGACACGTCGTCGTTTTCGTGCCAGGTGGCCTACAATCTGGTGAAGAAGTCGATTAACCAAGAGAGCTTTGCCCAGCAGCTGGCCCCTGGCGTGACTCGGCCGGTCCTTTCTACACGCGACGCGTCTTACGACCGTCTTCGATGCGCAAAGGGGTGGCAGGGTTTCTATAACACTTTGTTGAGTTGCTGGCAGGGCCAACCTGGGGCCGCTTCCATGTGCTCGATGTGCTCGGTGTGTCCACCCAGGAATGCTTGATTGATGATTTGATCGAATGGATGCGGCTCCTTGACGTCTTCGCAACCGCCGCGGCCGGTCCTTCTTCGAATCTTCGAACACGTCGTGGCCCCACCGGAGCGAGCGATCGACCGTGGCGACCGTGCGGGGTGTCAACCGCGACGGCTTGGGGCCAACTGCCCTTTGGGTCGGCTCGACACCCATCGACACTCGGGAGCGAGCGAGAGCGAGTGTACCGACATGGGCCGGAAGGATATCTGAACGACGTCCCCAACTGACATACCCTCACTCTGTATGATGCAGTGCCCATGTTGTACTGTACCCTATTTGGGGCTTGTCTGTAAACGAGAATGGTCTTCTTTAACCATCATCCACTTGTTGCTGTCAAAAGACCATACACCCCTATACACTATCCCAAACTCCATTTTGTCAACGCTAAAAGCTCTCTGCCTGCCACAAAGCCGCACGCATGGAACAGGCTGCGTCCCGTCCGTAGATGGACTAAGACAAGGACGACGGGCATGTTTCACAGAACTGGAATAACGAGACCCCCCACAAGCACCAATAATATCAATCCCCGTTTCAATTTCCTCTGTGACATGGTGGGCCTTGAGGCCACCGGGATCGAGCGATCATTTTGTAGACCACCTATGTTTTTGTCCAAAGAGCTTTTTTAAGGCTTTGCCACACCAGTCATTTTTCTAGACAGTCAAATCTCTACAACATGGAAACCATGAAAGAACTATGTCATTTTTTGTAGACAACAGGTGTCATATCTTGTAACAAACATGGTTTCTCTATACAAAATGACACCTTAATTACTACTGAGATTTGTGGGACATTTTATGATCTTGTAGACCAAAAAAAGACGCGAGCACTGATTCTACAACATGACGTCGTGTCACTCATATAGGAGGTGCCATTTTGAGTCATTTCGACCGTCACGACCTCACCGGTCGACGCGGTGGACCGTTCCTCAGGAACGAGTACGAGACCAACTCAGCACCTGGACGCCACACATGACCTGTCCCGGGCATGGCAGACCTGTCCCGGCCTGCGCCGTGTTTTGTGTGGGTTCGGGTAGCTGGTGTCACATCGTTTTCTTTTGTCGCGCGTTGAGAAAGACATCCACGACCGGTTTCCAAGGATTTGTGGTCACTGCCACAGACGATTTGTTTGTTCGCTGTCTTCCAGTGGTGTGCCACGTCGCACATTCCTGTGCGAAGCTTGGCGAATCGAGAGGTGCGACCGCGGTGTTCGGTTTTCAACCAAAGGTCAGCTCAGCCATTTTCATGCAACATGCCAACTCAAATCAACTCGATCAAAAAACGTGTATATATCGACGTCACGTCGTGAGCAAAACGTCAAGGAACAAATTGGAGAATGGCCAAGAACTTTGATGCAGCTTGGCATGGCTGGAACTTTGGCAATGTCTTTTTCGGAGACCGTCGGACGGTTTGTCGCTTCCAGGTCGCCGAGTTTGGCACGGTGCTCAGACTGCTCGGACCTGGCGCGGACGGTGCGTTGTGCGCGTTGCGGGTGGAACCCCGCACGACTCGACCCGCTTCGGGGTTCTTTCGATGCGAGGGTTCTTTCCTTCGCGAATCGGGTTTCGTTTGTGAGGCTCCTACAAATTTAGTTTCATCTATGATTATACCTCTCTGTGGGATTTCTTCGAGCATACCTTCCTGGAACAACATGCGAACCAAGAGCCTTGGCGGAGTGAAGTGTGTTGCGTGGAACGTCACACGCGAACGTCACACCGATCGAGGTGTTGCTTTCTGTTTAACGAAGAACGATGTCTTCGATCCGAGAAGTAACGGGGAGGTGTTTCGAACTTGAGAACTGGTAACATAAAACCTTTCGTGCACCTTGCTAGCGTGAAGGCAACAGCAAAATAAGACGACCCTGCAGCGGTGTGGCTGTGGGGCCGACGACCTACGAATATTTGCAAAGATTTCGGCTGATTGCTTTAGAAGATTTTAGAAGATGTTCCTGGTTTTTCCGGTGTCCGATGGGATGGTTATCCGTCCTTCTTTTGCGGCGTTCTTTGCTTTTGGCGCCCAATGGACAGCCACCAATCGGTTGGACAAAAGGTCATGACAGCGGGGGAGCTGTTTCCGCAAGCGAAATGGGAACACCCAACATCCCCAAAGCCCTTTGCACCCCAAAAAAAAGCAGCTGAACACCTGCCAGCAGCCCTGCCGCTCGCGCCCTGGCGCCACGGCCGTGGTTTCTTCGGTTTCAGGACTTGAAGCTCACCACCCCTGCGCGATACTTCATGCGCAACCAAATGCTGGGAGCCTCACGCTTCAGGCGGAAGATCGCAAACACGCAGAGCAAAGTGTAGCAAAGCACCGTCTAAGACCAGAGCAGGAGTTTTACGTAGACAAAGTGTATAAAATCACTAAGAGAAAACAAAGAGAACTGGCTTCGATGGCATGTGCCAGTTCCCTTTCTGCAGAAGGGTCTTAGATTTGACACGCCGCGCGCTGCGCCCTTTTCAAAAAGCATAGCTTCCTTTTGTTTCCTTTTAACGCTTTGATCCTTTTTGCGTGTTCTTCACTTCCTTCCAGAAAGCATGCTTTCTTTTGACTTGCGGCAAGCTTTTTGTGGCCTTCGCTTTTCCCTACGAAGTTGCACAGGCGTTTGTATACACTACCCCAAGACTGCCCGTTGCCGGACTACTTGAAGAAGCAGCCTGGCTGATTTGATTGTATTGGAGTTTCCTCAGGATTTTACCCAAACAAAACCGTGTTTTGCAGAAGTTTAAAGGCAGAATCAGTCCATTGCAGACTGTCCCAGGGTCTACTATCCATTTCCACTTCCATTTGTTGGGCCCTCAGTGACAAACTCCAACTGTTCGGCCGATTTGATGTACGCTTTAAACGGCGCGTAAACGCGCCGTTTCTTCGATGCACCGTGTCTTCGATGCTTGTCAGTTGAACAAATGCCACAAGCGCGGGGAGCAACTCGTGGACGATCGATTTCTCCTCTACCACGAACGCCGCTTGCATTGCGGGCGTTCACGTCTCCGGTTCGGGCGACTGCGAGAGGGAGCCGACCGCGAGAGGGAGAAGAAACAGAGGTGATTAACATGGCTCAGTTAAGACGTTCGACTACTGCCCCAAAGCTAACTTTGTGTCGAAGAAGCACTTTTAGAACAGCTAGATTGCTTTCCCTGAGAAGCAGAAGAAGCACCTTGAAGCAGCTGTAAGGACTTGATACATTGAAGAGAAGGCTGAGAAGTTGGGGCGATGAATACTGGCTGCTTGGTTTCTGTTCGTTTGGTGGTTTTCTCTCGTCAGCTTGGTTTCTCACGGCTTCATTCCCCTTCGGTCTGCCGGGTCGCGAGCGAGGTTGGACGACAATACCACATCCATTTCCGTGGACACCATTTACATGAATCCGGCCTTGGGCACGCGCGGGCTCCCAGAACCGGCCTGATCAACCGAGGTAAAGAGTGTTCTTCAAAAACCACGAGCGTTCCACGCGTGGAACAAAAGGAGAAGAACGAAAACATGAAGCGTGTCGCGTGTCGACGAAATGGGGCACTTGGACATCTTTGAAGATGATGGCCCAAATCACCTGTATTCTGCCTTTGGAGACGTGGCCTTGTAAGTCTTTTGAACCAAAACAGCTCTCCATTCCTTCAATTCCTTCGCTCCTCGCTCCTTCAGTCCGTGTGGCGCCCGCAGCGACGTGTGTTCCGACCTTCGCCGAACGCGGCGAGGTGGACCTTCGAGCAGTTGACCTGGTTCTTTGAGAACAACGGTCACCTGTCTTCGGTCGGTCGAAGAAAGAACCGGGAGAACGTCCAGTCAGCGGTGAGGAAGCACGACGGGATTCCCTCTCTGTGCGAAAGGACCATCGTGTCCTCTTTGAAGAAAAGACTATTTAATACTATATTTATATATGACCTGTAAAGCTGACTATATATATATATATATATTCTGGAAGTCAAGTCGACCTTTGTTTAAGATGGTTGCTTCTGGTTTTGTAGTGTAATACCCCAATATAAAACAATGGTGGTTCGGGATTCAAGCTCTTAAAGCAGATTCGACTTCCAGGGATTTCCAGGGTATATATAGCATATTATAGCCCAACTCGGACCGATCATGTGAAAAAAGAGTGACCCGTTTTATGCCGCTCTCCTGCTCTTCTTTTTCCGGCACCTACTTGCCACAGTGGTATCCAGTGGTCCTAATTCTGATCCTACTCACGTCAGCGCCCACCGAAATGACGGTTTTTCCCCGGAACGAGGAAAACCCATTTTGCCTCTGCGGGCCAAGGCTATCTCCACCACGTACAAACCACTGAGACCTTCTTGATCGAACCCTATAAAGATTGGAGTGCAGTCATCCCAGATGTGCTCCTGGGCGATGTGGACGCGAAGTGGACGGAGGGCGACTCCGTCCGACCGTGACCTGCGAAGGTCCGTTGGTTCGGAGAACGGCCGGACTGGGCGCAAGGACGGCCGAACAGGGACGCTGTCCGGCGTCCAGTGGTCGGAACAAGTCACAAGAAGTATCAAGAAGCTACGTTTGGAACAAGGTGCATTGCTACTAGTAACAAGGGCATTACTACTAGTAACAAGAAGCTACTAGTAGCCATTTGCTACTAGTAGTAATTTATGCAGGTGTTACTAGTAGGGAGGGGGTTACTAGGACAGTCAGTCAGGATCGAACCCTCGAAGAGAAATGTTCGGTGCCGGGAAAGGCGTGCAAACTGCCATATATGACAGGTTCAGCCAATTAGAGCTTTGGAAGCGAAAAAGTCCGTGACATTCTTCCGTAAAAAGCATTGTGTGCCTAAGGCTTTTCATTCTCATTCTCATGCGCATTCTCTATTTCGAGATGAAAGAGTTCGTTCCCGCCATGGCGATGCTCGGCAAACCACTGCGCTTCCTTCTCTTCTCTCTTCTCTTCTCTCTTCTCTTCTCTCTTCTCTTCTC